CTTTAAATTCAAATGCAGACTTGACTTTTTGTAATCTGTGTGATCCTGCTAAATTGGAAGAGGTTTCCAGACCTATTTGAAAAATGGCCACTACAGTTAGCTGAAACTTCAATCTTGAAAATGAATGAATGGAGCCGGTCCAGTACATTGGCTCTGGACCAGTCTTTAAAATACAGCAGAACAATGAATAACTGAATTCACAGCCAGCTGGTATCATAGTTGGGCAGTGAAAGTGTCAAAATATTAGTGACTTTTTTACATTTGTCAAAATCATTGCCAATACGGGAAGCATGGGCAGCTTGCAAATGTGAATCATGTAACAAAGTAGTTTTTAAATCTTGCCTTAAGAACAAGTGTTCGGTTTCCTCCTTTTACACCACGCCGTCAAGATGGGGAAGGGAGGAGAGAATAGAAAAATCTTCTACCTAGTAGGTAAAAGCCATTATTGATTTATTATCAAACATCAACTACTAATTTATGATCATAGTGCTACATGCCATGCAGTAATGTTGGATCCATCAGCATTTCCATTCCTTATTTTCTGGGGGTCTAAGAAGTCATCCATTCAATCATTCCTAGAATTTAGCATGCAAGATCTCAGTGCAGGAGTAAATATACATATAGGAAAGTGTAAAAGGGGAGAAAATACTGCTTGGCCATGTTTCAGCTATACAAGGGGAAAAGAAAAATAAATATATGTTACTGATGTCAGACACTCCATTCTGCTGTAATAATTAAAAACAAATAATTATTTTAAGTTGAAACAAAATTTTGCTAGGATTCAGTGCATGCTGTAGCAGAGATACCTTTGCTATATTTGAAAGAAAAATATGCATGACTGGGGGTTCCTATTGTAAAAGAAAACCAGTTTCTCAGTACATACAGTATTTATTCCCTGTCAAGAGATTCATCAGGAATTTCAGTGCATATCACCTGCTTGCTGGATGTGTTATCGCCTTCATTGGCATAGCCCCTGTTCAGCTATTGAGACAATCCCAGTGGAGTATGGAGGGTTGAATAGTCCCACGACTATTCAAATGGAAAAACATTTGTCACTACCATACAAGCAAGCAAGGGATTTTTAGGAAGAAACAATCCACAGTTTTTAGAGCACTGTGCCCATTACCAAGGTAATACATTACCAAGTTATTTGCTAAAAGCTAAGTTCTGCAAATAGTGCGCATAGCTTCACTCACATTATTGCCCACGTTGGTATTCTAAGACTAATCATTAAGCAAAGTTACTCATGTTCTTTGCTGTTTTGCTCCACCAAAACTCTATACAAGACTTGTGGATTCATCCTACAGTCTTTAGTGCAAGATCATGAATACGCCGCTTTTAACAGAAATAAGATATGCAACTATCTTCTGTTTCTAAAGTGCAAAAGAGTTGCTTCAAAGGGTTCTATTCAGACAAGTATTGAAAATACACTTGGTTCCATTTCAGAAAATATATTTTGTAGATTACAAGAAACCTTCTAGTTTTTTTTTAACCTAGATATTTAATTTTCTAATTTTTTGTCATTTGGGTACACTTAGGGCTCCTATATAAGTGCAGGGAGCCAGCTCCGATGTGCTAGTAATCTAATGCATCAGATTACGCGAGTCTGCTGAAGCGTGTTAATTACTATACTCCACCAGACTCTAGGGTCACAGGTATCAGCGTCCCCATGCTGAAAAATGGTGGCAGGGCGCTTTGAACTAAAGCTCATCAAATGAGGTTTAGGCCAACATGCCCTGCCGCCATTTTTCAGCATGAGGGATGCTGATACACATGATGCTCGGGCACTTGGAATTAGCGCAGCTCACTAATTAAAGTGCACCCCCAACGCCTCCCAGAGCACATGTAAAAATGTCCTTAGTAGCTAGATAACCATTTTGTGCTCCTTTACTAGGTTTATATTGAAGAACCATCATTTCTAGTATCTTTCTTTTAGCACCTTGCAAGCAAATGTTCTCAGCTTAGGCAAAGATTTCAGCCAGAAAGTTTCCTTCAAGAAGCCTTTAATTTCTTATCCTGTCTGACGCAAAGTAAAGAGTATGCCAGTGCTACTGACCTTAACTCTCCTGGATCAAATATATCTGATGTGATATATAGAAAACTTTGATGTGTAGATATGCTAATCAGTAAAGAAATGTCAAATTTGCATACATTTCAAGTGACCCAACAATATTTACCTTAGAGCTAAGTTTCATATTTTTCTGACAATTGCAGCATTGAACAAGTGACTCATTTAGCATATCTAAGTAGCATTATGTCACAGGGATTTACCTCAGAGTTGTTTGAAAGCATCAAAAAGATGAACATCACTGTCTGAAATTAACAACAAGCCTAATTTGATTTGACAAATGATGTTGATTTAGATAGGGTCACTAGCTATTGAAGATGGTGAGGACAAATAGTGCCTTGAAGCCTTGATAAAACTGAATATTTAAACAGTTCATTATGCAAATGTGTCCTCTACCTGTCAGTAGTGACTACAGTATAGGGTTAGATAGCTGGGGAAAAGTGTGCCAGAACGATGACTAGTAAACTTGTACCTGGTTCTCTTTAAAGCATTCCCTTTAGAAACCATTATTATGTTGCTATATTCTGCCCAACTTGGATGGAAGCAAAACAAATGGGAAAGAGTTTCCTGAAAAATCTGGTTTCCGACTATAGTGCAGAAAAGTTAACTTTACCAAGATGGTGGCTAAACACTGAGGCCAACTATAATACATTTAGAACCTGATTCTTCAATTATAATGATTTACTCATCTGAGTAACCCTGTTGATTTCAACAGAATTGTTCATATAAGCTATCAATCATGTATAGGGGTTGCTGTGCTGGACCCACGCCTTTCTAAAGGAACAAGGCTGTTGATATCAATGGACCTTGGTCTGTGTGACAAAAATTCATAATGACCACATGAAAATCTGGCCATCGCCATCTAAAACAAACAATTCTGCAAAGCCATAGATCCATAAAGATCACAAAGTGCTTTGCAAATTCTATGCAATGTCTAAAGGAATGGTTTTATTCACTACTAAAAGCTCTCCCTTAAGTAAAAGGCTGCAATCATTTGAGCAAATGATACCATATATCCAGCATAGCATTAGGGAGGAGAGAAAATTTTGGCCAGGGACATGTGGATAAACCCTTGTTCTTCTGAAAAGTTTCATGGTATCTTACTGTCCATTCAGAGCATGGAAATCCTTGGTTCTTAAGGTCTCATCTAAAAGCATCCCATACTTTATTTTCATTGAATCAAGTTTAGGTACTCTCTGATAGTGGAGAGTACAAATGACCCCACATGAATTTACCTTGTTTCAAAGTGCAAGGCTTACATCTGAGGCTCAAAGTTTAAATATTTCAGAATTTATGCTCAAGTAAATGGCATTTATCATGAGAATGGGTCACAGATCATCTTATACAACAGGATTCTTTAAAGGGTACTCTTCATCATCTGGTATAAAATTGTGCTATCTTATTACATTTTATTTTTAAGTGACCAGAGGTTCAGCTATATTCGAGGACATTTGCATTTTACACAATGTTGCTTCATACTGTGCTTTGTAACTGATTTAAGAACATCAGACACTGAACCAGTTTCACTTCAGAGCTCTAGAAAAAAGTCAGGATTCAACTCGGGTATATTTTAACCCCAGGGGCCAAGGCAGACATAAGAAAATGTTAATCTAGATGTTAGTTAGTAAAGAACATGATACCAACACCAACATGACATCAGAGAATCCATCAACAACAGGCTAACAGACAGCAACTTTCTGAGAGATATCCAACATGGCTTTGTTATGGGTAGGTCTTGCCTGACCAACCTCATTTCCTTCTATGACCAGGTGACACATCAGTTGGACAAGGGAGAAGAGGTTGATGTCATATATTTGGATTTCAAGAAAGCCTTTGACTTGGTCTTCCATGATGTCCTCATGGTAAAATTGAGAAACTACAGCCATGACAACCTTACAATCCGATGCTGGGGAACTGGCTCCATAGTTGGACCCAGAGAGTGACAGTCGATGGAACTGAGTCAACATGGCACGTGGTGACCAGTGGCATCCCCCAGGGCTAAGTACTCAGACCAGTACTCTTTAATACATTCATAAATTATCTGGATTCAGGTGTCAGAAGCGGACTGGCTAAGTTCACAGATGACACCAAATTATAAGGAAGTGTGGTCACGCTAGAGGATAGTCTGGCGATTCAGGCCAACCTGGACAGGCTTACAAGGCAGGTGAATCAAAACCTTATGACATTCAATACAGCAAGAGGCAAAGTGCTCCACCTTGGGAGAAAGAACCCACATCATACTTATAGGCTCGGCAGCGCTATACTCATTAGTGCCATGACCGAAAGAGACTTGGGGGTCATGATTGATCACAAGATAACATGAGGCACCAATGCAATGCTACAGCTGGCAAAGCAAATAAAACTCTGCCTTTCATGTACCAATGCATCTCAAGCAAGACCCAAGGAGTCATCTTCCCGCTTTACTCAGCCTGGATGAGGCTGCAGCTGGAGTACAGCATCCAATTCTGAGCTCCAGACTTTAGAAAAGTCTTGGAGAAGCTTGACAGAGTTCAGAGGAGAGCCACACACATGATTAGAGATCAAGAGATCAGGCCTTATGAGGAGAGGCTGAAAGGCATGGGACACTTCACCCTAGAGAAGAGAAGGCTCAGGGGGGATTTGGTGGCAGCCTATAAGTGCATCTGGGGTGTGCACCAGGAACTGGAAGGACATCTGTTCACCAGGGCACCCCAAGGGAAGACAAGGTCTAACAGTCACAAACTGCTGGAAGACTGTTTTAGACTAGACATAAGGAAAAACTTCTTCACTGTCCTAGTCTCCAGAGTCTGGAATAGAGTCCCCCCAGAAGTGGTGCAAGCACCTACTCTGGATACGTTCAAGAAATGTGTGGATACTTACCTTGTTGGGGTCATCTGACCCCAGCTGACTTCCTGCCCTTTGGGCGGGGGACTGGACTTAATGATCTTTTCAGGTCCCTTCCAGCCCTAACGTCTATTAAATCTCTGAAACACAAAGAAGCTGCTAATTAACTAGGTGTAACAGAGCCACAAAACTGGGCAAGACTAATGGTGATTTAAAGATATAATACGGTGCAGATACCATTAAAGCAACCCAAAGAAACGTCTCATGTATTTGAGATCTACTTGAATCTGAGAAAACCTGCCTAGCAAGCAATCTTCATTTGTTTATAAAGCGATCCCCTATATTGGCTGAGTTTGTATATTCGTGGCAAATTCCCATCCCAACCATGAAGCAGGAGGAATCTGAGCATGGCTTTGAAATCTAAGGAAACAAATAGGGCAGCAAGAAAAAAAAAGTATGATGTAGAGTTCCCTTGTGAATAGATGTCCATGCCAAGTTGCTCTTCCTATAGATGGTATGTTTGCAGAGGGATCAGTAGTAGGATGTAGCTGTGCATATTTAGCATGCAAACGTATTTGTTTTAGACGGCAATGGCCAGATTTTCAAGTGGTCATCATCCGTTATTATCACACAAACCAAGGGCCACTGAAATCACCAGCCTTATTGTTCCACAGGCTTATACCATTATGTCTCAGCCCAGGGGCAGGCAATTATTTGGGGCAGAGGGCTATTTACTGAGTTTTGGCAAGCCATTGTGAGCCACATGGTAGGCAGCCCCGGGCAGATAAATATTAATTTTCTACATTTTTTAAGGGCCCCGTGGGCCAGATAGAATGACCTAGCAGGCCGCATCCGGCCCCCGGGCCACATTTTGCCCACCCGTCTTAGCCATACCTGCTACTTTAAGTCACTAAAAGAATCTCCACCCTTCACTATTAATCAGATGCACTAGGAAGCAGAGGAGTCTGCCTAAATTCAGATGGGTACAGTACCACCTAATCTGACTTGCTTATTCATGTCATAGCTTAGTCTTCATTTTTTCACAGTTTTTTTCCATGAGAAGAAGGAAGATGAGCCTTGAAACTTAGTACAACAACTGACAATATATCACGTTTTGTAAAACAACTATTAGTGTGAGTGAAATAACAGTTCTTAGGATCAGAAAAGATGTCATTTCTCTAGTTCAGGGTGTACAACTCATCAAGCCCATGGGCCAAATGTCTAACACAGGGCTAGTTCAGGGCATACCGCATGCAGATCCAGTCTAAGAAGTACAGGCACCACGGTGGGCCAGTTAAGGTGCTGCAGGATGAATCTGACCTGAAGGCCGTGTCTTTGACACCCCTGGTTTGTTCAACCTCCTGCAGAACCGTAAAATCACGGGGTTGGAAGGAAGCTCAAGGGTCATCTGTTCCAAGCCCCTGAACGAATACAGGAATGCTACTCTGAATCATCCTTGCCCCATGCTTATCCAGCCTCTTCTCGAAAACCCCCAATGAGGGATATTCCACAACTTCTCTGGGCGGCCTATTTCACTGCCTTGCTGTTCTCACAGGAAAAACGGTTTTCCTGATCCGTAGTCTAAATTTACTTTGCTGCAGTTTGAAATATTGTTTCATGTCCTGTCCTCTGCAGCAATGAGGAAAAGTTGTTCTCACCCTCCTTTATGGCATCCTTTCATATATTTGAAGACTGCTGTCATGTTTCTCCCTTAATCACCTGGTCTCCAAACTAAACAGGCCTAGTTTTCTCAACCTTTCCTCATAGTTTGCCATACAACCAACCCCTTTATCATTTTTGTCACACACTCTGACCCTTCCCTAGCTTCTGCACATCCCTCTTACAATTTGGAGGCCAATGCTGCACAAAATACACTCAGTGAGGATTAGCCAGCGCCAAGTAGAACGAATGAAGCCATCACCTCCCATGTCTTACCCCTAGTGCTCCTGCTGATGCACCCCAAAATTTCATTAGCTTTTTGTTTTTTTTGCAATGGCATGACATTGCTGACTTACGTTAAGTCTGTGATCCACCAAAAGCACAAGGTCCTTCATAGCAATGTTGCCAGTCATTTATCTCCTATTCTGTGTTTGTGCTCTTCTTTACCCTTCTGTAGGTGTAGCACCTTGCATTTCTCTGCACTGAACTTCATCCTACTGTTTCTAACCAATTTATTAAAACCCTTCTGAATTCTACTCCAATCCTCCAATCTGTTTGCAATCCTTCCCAGTTTTGTGTCATCTGCAAATTTGCTCAGGATGCTCTCTAGTCCAGCATCCAAAAAATTAATAAATATGTTGAACAGCACCAGACTCAGGATAGAGCCCTGTGAAACCCCACTCAAAGCCTCTTGCTATTCTGATGTCGATGCATTTATAGTTACCCTTTGCTTGCAGTTATTGAGCCAATTGTCTATTGACCTTGTAGTAACTTTATCTACCCCAGATTTCTCCAGTTGGCTTATGATAAGGTTGTATGGGACTCTAACATAAGCCTCACTAAAGTCCAAGTGCACTACAACTACTGCATTCCCTTCATCCACCCAACTAGTACTTTGTAAGGGTTTGATACAGGAATTCAGGTATGAAGTCCATAGCTTCTTTTTGAGCTGGAGCAGAGGTCTTAAGATAAGCAGTCATGACACCAAGAGAGCAAGTGATGGGAAATCCACCCACCATTCCCTAAACTGTTTTTCCAATAGTTAAGCACCCTTGCTGCTGAAAATTAGCACCCTACTTCTGATTTTGTCTAGCTTCCAAATCCGAACCACTTATTGGAACTCTATAAATATTTCACTTGTGGCCTTAAAATAGGGTAATTCTTATGAAGCGTGATCGTGGTAATTAGTTATGAGTAGGAAAATAAAAAAAGAAATTTAAAATATCTTCCTTCTTGCCCTTTACTCCAAATGAATTTTTATTTTTCTATTCTTAGCCGTAAGGATGATTGGCCACTGGAACCACTTACTGAAAGATGCGATCATCTGAGTGCCTCTACTGCTAAGGAGCCCTACTTATGGAACATCCCCCATGATGCATGGCACTGTACAAATGTTGGCTTGCACCATGGGTGGATCCAGGATTTTGAAAAGGAGGGTGCAGATGGTGTAGCATATCACATAACAACACATTTTTCTCCAGTTAAAGAGAAACTAGGAGCTTTGCCAACATGATAGAGGGCTAGAACTATGTTATTCAATTTAAGATCAAAGCAAAACCAAATGAACTATTGGAAGGTACATTAATTTGCTAGAGTACATATAAAGTATTTTTAAAAACCCAACAAACTGGGCAAAAATAGTCAAAATATATTTTACCATTAGTCCTGTAATCAGTACAGTTAAATGTACATCTCGTTCAGATTCATAAAACAAAATCTAGCCTTTTTGAGCATCTTGACAGTGCCTCCAATACTTCACTGTCAGTCATTTTTACACCTGAGTTAATATTACTACACTTGAGTTAAAATTTTTAGCTAGAGCTAAAAACAGTCTGCAGGGCTGTGAAATAGGAGAGACATTACCAGGAATGACTACCAGACAGCTAAATTGCAAAAGAAAGGATAGTTTGAATAGTGAAATATCAAGGCCATTATAAAGGAGAGCGGGTCGTTAACAGCTGTAGAGCAGAAAGGGATTAACAGGAACCCAGGAGATGATCATGATCATGAGCCATGAAGCCAATTGACTATTTCAGCATTACTACCTAAATTGAAATGCTCCTACCCCTCCCAGGCAGCTGGTGTCAAAGTGTGGGTGGAGCAAGAATCAGAGGGGAATGCAACCATACCTCTGCACCCCACCTGGATCTGCCCCTGGCTTTCACTTGAAATCTTTCAATCAGGACCAGATGCCTTTCTAAAAGATAAACTCAGTCCAATCACAAGTTACCAGACTTGTGGGAAGAACATCTGCATGAAATTCTATGACCTATGTTAATATAGGAGGTCAGACCAGGTACCATATTAGTCCATTCTCCTTAAAAACCTCTACATTTACAAGCCCCACGCCACTTTCTTTTTTAATGTTAAATATTACTTTCTCTACACTGCTGACTTTTAAAGTGATTTTTCCCCATATAAAACCAAAGGTCAAAACATCTTTTCCTTTTGCAGGGTATTAAAGGAGGTGCTTTTCTCCATCGATATGGGGGAAATGAAATTAAAATCCAGTTATTCTTCTGTCAATTTGGATGGAAAATAAACCTCCACATTATGCTAAGCAGGCACCTTTGTAATCTTTGTTTTGTGTGGGCTCTAACTGGAACTTAAAAGCCTACTTTAAAACATTTCAAGAATCTCTAATCATTGCATATGTCAGACCAGCAATCAATAATTTGTACACCTTCAAAGAGTGCACATTTTATATAGACCAAATTCTCACTTTTCAAACATTGTTATCCAGCTATCATTAATTTTATGATTGACATTGACTGCATAAACTCCAAGTTTTTAATTTCTCATATCTTATAAGCTAGTTAGATTTTTTTGGACTCTGAGTAGCATATATGCCAGTACCTTTCTTTTAGCTCCTTCTGGTAGCTTAATTCAAGCTGAAAGCATTGCACCAAACAGGGGTAAGTGGCTTCAGCAGTGATGCAGCTACATGCACAGTAAGCATGTGATCAACCAGAGTAACAGTAGATCTCACTTTTTTACTTCAGTGCAACTCTATGCATAAGCATTACTCCATATACATAAGAGAGGCTCCATAAGCATATGACCTTAAATCACATTTTTTGGCACTCGCTCTTCCTTCCCATGCTATTTAGACAATTTTCTGAAGGTTTCTAAAATAGTATGTGACTACACAGCTTTATCAGTAGGATTTAAGTCTTTTTATTGGAAGTAGCTAAAGCCAGATATGATTTTGTAAATGACAAAAAAGAAAAGAAAAAATGATGTCTCAATTGTAAGTGGAAGAAGAACTCCAAAAATTGAAGAGTACCAGTAGGATCAACAGCAAGCAGTGGCCATAAACATATTCATGGAATGAATATCGTTCTAGTGACTGGACTGCAGCCAAGACTTTTTATTCTGTGTTTTTAAAAATGCATAGACTATGAGAGTCATAAAAATGTTTTGTCTCTGGAATATGCTGGAACAAAAGCCAGATATGATTAGACTTTG